TTTTGCTGATTTTGGCAGACTTGCTGTTCTGTAAACATTTTGATGAAGTGCACTGGGCAAAAGGTACTTCAGATAACAATTTCAAGGGTTCAACCCCAAACTATAATAATTTGGCCATTAGCAGTGAATGTTCTGCACTGTTCTTTGCTGAGAACAATCTATCAGACCCACTCTGCCTAAGCAGAAGAGATTCCATAGCACTGTCTGGTCCTTTTTCTATGGACAGTTTACTCTTGCGATCCCTGTTTGATACTAACAGTATCCCACAGATATTCTAAAAGTGACATGTTGTCTGGACCGGTGCCCATTCTGTTAAAATCATGTTGTGGGTGTATATAAAGTGCCATCAAGTCACAGCTGACATATGGCGACCCCGTCAGGGATTTCAAGGCAAGAGGTGTTTCAGAGGTGGTTTGCCATTGCCTGCCTCTGCGTAGCAACCTTGGACTTCCTTGGCGGTCTCCCATCCAAATACTAACAGGGTCAAACTTGCTTAGCTTCTGAGATCTGACAAGATCAGGCTAGCCTGGGGCATTCAGGTCACAGAAAAATCACGTTGGGATAAGGCAAAGGTCCAATGGATGAAGACCACCAAATGCGTATCTACCGGAAGGGTCTTTCCACAGCCTCTGAAAGGAGTTAGTGCAACCAACACTGAAGAAAACTGCACTTGATAAAGAGATTGTGTCCAGTTATGGACCAGTTTCCAACTTGCTGGTTGGGTTTTTTTAGGGAAAAGAACTGAATGAAGCAGAGCAACTCCAGAATTTCCAGAATGATTCATCTGCCCTTGACTCTTTTCACTCTGCTTTCAGGCCCAATTATGTGGCAAAAACAGCGCTGGTAGCTTTGCTAAATGATGTTCATTTGCAGCTGGATAAAGGGAAAGTGTTCCTATTATTTATGCTTGATCTGTTGGCTGCCTTCAGTACTGTTGATCAGTCAGTGCTGTTTAGCATACGTTGAGTCTGGAGTGGGCTTGCTGGACTGGCACTTAAATGGCTAGTCTGTGTTTTGGTTTCAATCGCATTGTGCCTGGAAGGTCTTCATTGAGGACTCAGAATCTGCGGCATGAGATTTAACCTGCGTGGTTGTCCAAGGCCCTGTATTGTCATCTGGTCCAAAGGTTTGGTGTTAGGGATCCTCAATATGCTGATGTAAACCCGTTACTTTTCTCCTTTCAACACCCCCCCCCCAAAACCGCTATATCATAAGCTACTGTCTGGCTGCCACGATTACGTCACTGAAGGAGAACATGTAGAAGCTGAATCACTACAAGACAGAGTTGATGGTAGCTGGGAAAGCTGAGATCTTGGAGAGGATTGGGGTGCCCACCATGGATGGGGTGAGCTTCACTATGACGGACTCCACTAAAACCTGGGAGTCTTGTTGGCTCTTTTGGAGAAGTAAGCTCTTATGTTAGCTCCCCTCCCCCCCATTGCATTTAGTTCAGATCCTATCTCTGCTGTCAGATTCAAAGCCAATCTAGCCATTTTTATTCATACGACGAGAATCTCAAAGCTTCACGACTGTAATGCTCTATGAGGGACCTATCCATGAAAATTCAAAAGCTCCCATTGGTCCAGACTGCAGTTAGTTAAGTGAAATTAGCTGCTTCCTGGATATTACGCCAATCTTGGTACATTGTTGCCTGTCTGTTTTCAAGTTCATGGCGCTGGTCGCTGCCTATAGAGCTCGTCAAAGCCTGGCTCCCTTGTATTTGAAGGACCATTTCTCCCAGTGTGAACCCATGTGGCAAACTCTGGTCATCCCAACGGTCTCTTTGGGCCATCCCCTTGAGGAAGTCGGGGAGGTGCGCTGCTCCCATTGTCAGACTTTTCTGCGGCATCTCCTGTAGTGTGGAAGGACCTTTCCAAGTGTGATAGGAAGGGGTGGACACAGAGGGCCTTCAGAGAGTATTGTGAAAACAGGACTTTGGAGGTTGAATAGGAGCAGTATGTGCAGTTTGGCTGCTGTGTTTGACTTTTATTCCAGTTTTGTTGGGGGGGGGAGGGTTTTTTCCTAATGACTGAATTGTTACCTATTTGCTTTGAACTTCCTGTAAGCTGCTTTAGGTCCCATTACAGGAGGAAAAAAGGGTTAGAAGCATTGTGATTATGCCTTAAATAAATAAATAAGTTAAAGTACCGGATTCAAAATTTTGCAAGATGAAGAACACAGAACCAGAGCATAAGTCTTTACCTAATTGAAAGTATCTGGTTCTTTCCCACTGTGGTACCACTGACAGCCAAGCAAGATGGGGAATTTGCAGAGGTGTTGCTTTGAACGCACAGGCAACACTGAGAGAGATGTTGTGCTGGCAGACACGCTTCGGCGCAGAGACACAGAGGTGACTTTCAAGTGAACCCAAACCAAGGACAAATTCCATCTGCACTGCCTCCTAGAGTTTAGTGCAAGGTTTGGTGCTCTGGGGGCCTCTCCAAGAAGCTAAGCCCCAGGTGGGGGACAAAGCAACTATGGGACAGGTAAGTGATAGACCCTGCATTTGGATGGAGCAATTCACGCTGGCACAGGGGATAACCAACCAGTCTGGTTAACAGAGTATGTAATAATACAATGAACGCCTTCTCAAAGTGCAGTCACATGTGAGAGGTTAAACCCACTCAAGCTCTCGATCCACGTGCAATCGGTGATTTACACAACCAAACGGAAATCAAGAATCATCACCTTCTACAGCAAAGTGAAATACTGAAAGAGCTGCAGGCTGGGTAAGGCTGCCAGACCTATCTGCCTCCCTGGGCATCCTTTCCCCATCTCCCTATGGAGAAGGATAGGCATCCGGTTAATGTGGCAAAGAGGACATTGATGTGGTATATGATTACAACAGCAAGAATGATGTATGCTCAATGTTGGAAACAAGATAAAGTACCGGAAGTTGGAGATTGGATTAAAAAAATATTGTTTATGGTTGAAATGGACAAAATGATGAGGAAATTAAACAATCTGGAAGCAGAGGACTTTTTTGCAGATTAGAGGGATCTTAGAGACTATTTGGAGAAGAACTTGGATGTAAGGGACGGTTTATTTAGCTTTGACAATTATTGAAGTTAAGAATTACTAAAGATTAGATAAAACTGTGTGTATAACATAGAGAAAAAAAAGTTACCTATGGACATTTTGAGCTAAAGAAGAAGTAGAGTAAAGAACTAAGAACTGTACAGGAGGTTGGAGCACTGTGGGAAGCCGAACGGGGGGGAAAGGGAGGAAGGGAGGATAGTAGAATTTTTGTGAAATTATGAATTATATTGGACTATTGTAACATATCCTAGTAAATTGTTTTGGGGAAAAAAAGAGGATAGGCATCCCAGATACTTCACCTGAGAAGACCCTTTGCTCAAGACGGTAGCTCCACAAATGTATTAGGCAAAAGAACTCCGTGCTTAATTCTCTGACCCCAGGGAAATGCTAATCGCCACTTTGGGGTCAGGAAGCAATTTTTCTCCAGATCAGTTTGGCATGAGATCCTGGAGGTTTTTTGTCATCTTCCGGGCGTGGAACAGGGGTCACTAGGGGTGTGTGTGTGGGGGAGGTATTTGTGAATTTCCTGCCTTGTGCAGGGGGTTGGACTAGATGGCCCTGGAGGTCCCTTCCAACTCTATGATTCTATGGGCATCCATCATTCCTGGACACAGCTAAACCCTTGCCCCTACATACACACACATCTCCCAGTTTACAACTGTCATTGATAGGGTCATCAGAGGGAGTTAGGGTTGTCATGTTCCCCCTGGCCACCAGTGAAGGAATGGGGAGTAGGCGGGGATGTGGTGTAGAGTTGCCTGACCAAGGTTGGGAAACACCTGGAGATTTGGGGATGGAGTCTGGGAAGTACAAGGACCTCAGTGGGGTACCATGCCATAGAGTCCACCCTCCAAGTCATCCATTTTCTCCAGGGGAACTGATATCTGTAGTCTGGAGATGAGCTGTAATTCCAAGGGATCCCCAGCTCCCACTTGGAGTCTGGCATCATGCCTGGATCCAACTCCTATGAGAATCCTCTTGCCAAGCAGCATTTTGTATTCCCTTTTAACTATTTGTATTGGGTTTTTATGCCTTTGAGAGCCAATATGTGGCTGAAAGGCTGGATGAAAATTAAGCCAGGAGAATATGGAGTTCCATAGCAAGGAAGAACAGAGGAAATCCAGTCTGAATTACCAACAGAGTAAGCTGGGCCTGCAGGAAGCCATAAAGTTTAATTCAGAACTGGAAGTGTGGTGGGCAGGCTGCCTTACAGGACCCTCAGTGCGCTCTACTATATTTTTCTGGACTTCCTTCAGTGCTCCTTGTATACTGTTGTCATCTGACAGTGTCCGCACCCCCTTGCCTGATTTCTAGCTGCTGCTTCTCTGTTGCCTACTCTAACTGTGGTATGAGACAATTCTTTTCCCCTTTACAGGTGTGTGGCCAGCTCATTCTCTCTGTGTCCAGCTAGGTCCAGTAAGGCAAACACCATGCCCTAGCTTATTTAGCAAGGCAAGGCTACTGTGTAGTGTCCTTCCCGAATGCTAAAAGTGAAAAGAACCAGTTGTGGCACAAAGACTCCCTCTGCAGCCTAACCCAGGAACAGCACCCCATCATTTGAAAACAAAGAGGAATTTTGACATTTTAAGGAGCTGCTGTGCTAGAATCAGGGCTTTCAGTGCTTCTTCTTACTTGCTCCCTCCCTGTCATCAGTTTTCCACAGAATCATGGCAAAGAGTGGTAAAAAGACAGAAGAACATGGAGCAAGGAACAGGAGTGAGAGAAAGTAGGTTCTGGCTTTTCCATGGTGCAACTTCACTTTTATTCCTTCCATTCTCACTTCAAAACCCATCTTTTCCTGAAAGCTCTGGCCCAAGCCCTCCCCCTTCCTTCATCTACAATTGAAACTATATGTAAGTCAACTCTGATGGTTCGCACTCATCCCTAGATGATTTTGTTTTGCCTTTCCTCCAAGACAGCCTCAACCTGGGTAAGGCAGGAAAACAGAGTAAGCCTATTCCTTTGACACTTGGAAGCCTCCTCACAATTAAGAATGCAGATTTAACATCACCTGTAAGGATACAGAATACAGTTCTCAGCTCATTCTTGGTGTCTTTATATATTAAAATAAAATTCATATACACTGTTTTAATCTCTTGTGATCTACACATCAAAACATGATTCCTGTGTCACTGCATTGCAAACCGTCAGTTCAAAATCTGAAGTAGTTTGCCCCTTTCAAGCAATCATTAGCAGAAGTCATTACAAACTGTGCAGAGGCCTCTGCTCAGAAGCGTAGAAGGGCATTCTTTATCACAAACCAGAGACTTGCTTACAATGCTGTTAGGTATGGCTCCTTTAAAACTTTGGAGAGCTAAAATAGGTGTAGTCTCACCGACAGAACAGAAAAGGCATTGACAAAACCAGCCAAATTTCACCTCTATTGGTGGGAGAATTAAAATAGAGTTAAATACCCCACCCCAAGGGATTGCTGAACACTGCAGAGGTGACACCTGGTAACCAAAGCACCATACTCAAATCTTAACACTTAAAATACAATTAATGCCTTGTCAAAATGTAATTAGAGGTTGATGATTAAACCCACTCAAGCTGTTGATCCAGACACAATAGGTGACTGACAAAACCAAATCCAACCATTATCTGCTTGTTGTATGATAAACTGAATTTTCTTTAATCAGAACCAGTGTTTGGAGACTTGTTTTCTGCCACCTTTGGGGCTGCTAGCAACAGTCAAAATTGTTTTGAAATGCCTCTCGTTTGCCCTATGGGTGATCTATGGCCACAGTCTAAGCATGAAAGGAACACCCCTTCCAGGATGGACTTAACTGGATGCTGCACTCAAAGAGATGTTTTGGGCTCTGTGACAACTGCCACTGCCAGGCACTTTGGGCCAGGTAAAGATGCTCCTTGTTTTTTGTTTAGTCCCAACAGTGGCTTTGCGTGTTCCTCAGGAAGTCTGTCTTCTTCCACGACACGCACACATTTCTCCCGCCCCTTCTCCTGCCCCTCACTCATTTGCGGCCCAAGAAAAAGGCCAGAGCAGCAACGAAGGTTAGAACAAACGCCATGTTCTTCAGATCGTCCGGGTTCCACTGCTTCTCAATCTCCTTGCGTTTCTTCAGTTCCTTCTGCCTCTCACGGATTAACTGTTCCCGCTGCAGCTGCTCGCCGTAGTGCTCCCGATAGAATTTGTCAAAGTCAAAGATGGGCTTGTGGGGATTGTGGGGGGGATGGGAGCTGGCCGTGAAGGTCTGGGTCCTCCTCGGCGGCGGGCTAGAGGCAGGCTCCCTGCCAGAGGGCTTCCCGGCCATGCGGACGTCCCGGCGGCTGAGGATGCCACGGTCGTACTTCTTACGCAGGGCAACGCTGCCCAGCACCAGGTAGGCCTCGTTGACGCGGGTGAAGCGTTCGGCCGCCTCCTCGCTGCCGGCGTTGCGGTCCGGGTGGTAGAGGAAAGACTGCTTGTAGTAGGCCGTCTTAATCTGGGTTTGCGTGGCCGTCGGAGGCACCCCCAGCAGCTCATACAGGCCCGAGGGGGAGTCCTGCCGGCGCACACCCGCATCTGAGCCACCCCCGGAATGCCCGCGGGCAGCCACGCTCCGGAGGGCCCCGGGGAAGAGAGGAGCCCTCCGGGACGTTCGCGTCAAGGCCATAAACAGCCCCGGAGGGCCCTTCAATGACCCCCCGCTGCCCCTGCAGTCCTGACCCCCGCCATGTTGCCTCAGTTCCTTCGGCCGGCCGGCGACAGCTGTCAGGCAGGCGACCAATAGGAAGCGCTTCCTGGTCGGGCAAGAAGGCCGAACCGGAGCAAGCATTGGTCCAAGACCAGACGGACGTCGAGCTAAGCCAATGGCAATCAAGGCCAGCGGGTCACCGTGAGCCGCTAGGCGACGCGCAGAGATGACGTCTGTAGCCGCGGGTTGCGTGTGTGGATGACGTGAAGGGGCGAAGATGGCGGCCAGCGGGAAGCGGCCTGAGCACCGAGGGCCGCCCGAGTTGGTGGGTAACAGGAGAGAGACTGGGCGGGGTCACTGGGCAGGAGGGGATGAGACGCGTGGTAGCTAAAAGGAGCCTCCATGTTCAGAGGCAGTTTGCCTCCCAATGCGAGCCTTTCGAAGCATAAAACAGGCGAGGATGTTGACTTCATGACCTCCCACGTGGGTTGTCTTGTAGTCTATCGCTGGATAGCTAGGGATATTTTTGGGAGGGGGCCCACCAGCTAATTAAATCAAAGTTAATTAGTGAAACTCCTTGGAAGCCAGCTTTCCCCTAAGGCAGCCCTGCACCCCAGTCAGACTCCAGGGCAAGGGTGGGGGGTTAATGCCTAGCAGCTGCAGCTTCCTCTCTCCCCCGGAGCACTGCATACCTGCTCAAGTTGTGAAGCTAGGCAGGGAGAAGCCAGCAGCGGGCAGCGGCATCCAGGAGGGGGATTGGCAGGGGAGGGGGGAGAAAGAGATCCGACGGTGGGAGTGGGAAGAACCCACCGCCCGCCCGCCCGCCACTGCACCACCGAGCTAGCTAGGCACCTCCTGCTGCTGGGCCTGTGCCCACCTTTGTTGCCACCGCCGCTGTTCTGGATGTCGCTGGCTGGAAGTGGAGCGAGGCCAGTGGGGAAGTGGCCAAGGCGCTCAGTTGTCTGGCAGACAGGTCGAAGGGAGCATGGCACAGGCGGCAAGTTGAGGTAGTTTGGGGGCAACCCTAGAGGGAGGGACCCAGAAGAAATGCTAGGGGGCTGGGTTAGCTATGGGCTTGGCTGCTAGGCTACATGGCCTGACAGCTATAGAAAAGAGCAGGAATCCAGTAGCACCTTAAAGACTTGCAAAATATGTGGCAGAATATGAGCTTTCATGAGTCACTGCTCCCTTCTTCAGTGGGAGACGAAAGCTCCTGCCCTGCCACAAATTTTGTTCGTCTTTAAGGTGCTCCTGGACTCTTGCTCTTTTCTACTGCTACAGACAGATTAACACGACTACCCACCTTGGCTTAGCTAGACAATTCATGTATTCTTCCAACAATTCCTTTCTCCCATTCTGTTTCCTTCTCCAGTTCTACGATGAGTCCGAAGCCCGGAAATATACGCACAAGTAAGATGTATTTGGAGGAGCACTGGGTTTCCTCGTTTAAGTTTTAACAATAGCTTGCATTGCATGGGGGGGAGGGGCTCAGTTAAACCTAGGTAACTTTACTGTACATTGATTGTAAATGTGCAGAGAGGATAGTTGTAGACACTGGTGCTTGATAAAGTTCCTCAGGCTGCCCCTTTTTTTAAATTTAGCATCTGCAGCATCTTGGCTTGCCTCAGTGTGGCGTGGTGGAAGAGTGTTTGAGGTGAATGTCTGGTGGCAAGTGGTGCCTTGCAGAAGGATGGTATTCCCTGTGTTGGAGGAGGGGGGAGATGGTGTTAAGAGGAGGAGAAGTGGGTTGTTATGGAGATTTCTTGGGAGAGTACTCTGGAATTGTGTTCTGTGGAGACCTCATAATTCAGGCTGACAATTCAAGCTGCCCAATGGTGGTCCTGGTGGGCTTCTTCCAACCTTTAGAAATCACTTGTGGCATACCAGATAAGAGCCAGCATTTTACTGCTTGGTTGCCTGAGGCACTTGTTGCTCACTGCAGGTGATGGGGGGGGTAATTATTTGTGAGCTACAGCTAAGGTTGTTGAATGTGCTCTCCTGCTGTTGGAGCTCTAGAGCAGATTGAGATTTCTAGGCTAAGAGATAGGAGGCAAGTTTCCTGTATCTGTACCCCAGCATCTAAGCCGGCAAGTTTCCTGTATCTGTACCCCAGCATCTAAGCCAGAATGTCCTTTGCTGTGATCATCTCCCACCATCTTCTACCCTTTAGCTCTCGGATGATTGGGATCCAGTCACAGATGTCTGAACGAGCTGTGGAGCTTTTGGGTCTCCCAGAGGGCCGTCCATGTTTCTTGCTGGATGTGGGGTAAGCTAGCTGCATGGGACCACAGGAGTGTTCACTCTTTCGTAGGACTGCAATGTTTCACTTTCTGGGATGTTCTGTGTCTTGAGAGCTGAGAAAGCTGCAGCCTAGACTCCTTATGATTGTAGTTTTGCTTTTTTGAGAGCCGTAGCATGAATTGCTTTTGGGGATGTTGCGTAAGTTGATTTTGGGGAACACACATCTGCTTTGTGTTGTGCCTACCTGAGGAACAGGATTGAGCTGGCATCTCTGTTGGGCTTAATTTTTTTCAGAAACATCATGTTGTGGATCTGGTTTTCTGTATTGTTTTGAGGTTTTTGTCTTTTGTGTGGAAAGAGAGACACGGAAGCACTGTTAATAACAACCTGCTGACTAAGGTGTTTGAGATGACCAATTGTCATGAGCCAAGGAGCAATATGCCAGGTGTCCTTGTATCCCCGTTGTCTTGTGTGATCTGTTTATTTGACTGCTGATCAGAGATGCATACGTGGGTGTCCTGCTCATTTCTTGTTATTGTTCTCACCAGCTGTGGCTCTGGTTTGAGTGGGGATTACATCTCTGAAGAGGGACACTGCTGGGTGGGCATGGACATCAGCCCTGCTATGCTGGGTGAGTGCCTCCTGTTCCGTGCATCCATCAGACTTGAACCTTCTTGCTTTGAACTGGGCTGGGGTTATGACAAGGGAAGCAATTGCAAGCCTCCTCCTTTCCTTTCTCTGAACAGATGTGGCTATTGAGAGAGAAGTGGAGGGAGACCTGATGCTCGCAGACATGGGTCAGGGGATTCCCTTCAGGCCTGGGACCTTTGATGGCTGCATTAGGTAGGAGCGTGCTGTGTGCTTGCTTGCAAGAGCTAGCGGCTGCAGCTTGGCAGCTTGTAGTATAAGCTTGTGAAATTCTTGGCATGAGAAAACCCCATGGAGAAGGCTGCTTGACTCTTCTATGTTCTCCGGTAGCATTTCTGCAGTGCAGTGGCTCTGCAACGCTGACAAGAAGACTCACAGCCCTCCAAAACGACTGTATCGATTCTTCTCTACTCTTTATACTGCACTGGTAAGTGTGGCGTTCTATCACACACACCCCTTGGCTTTCTTTGAAAGCATGAATTGAGGGGGGGGGAACAGTGTGTAGATCAGCACAGCAGTGGATCATGTGGCACCGAGGAAGGACACAGAGGAGCAAGTTGGCACTCGGAATGGATTGTCCCTTGTAATTATTGCGCTGCTTCCTTCCCTAGCAAGTCAGTCTGGGACCAGTGGGCCAAACATGGCCTGCATCTTCTTAGTCACACTTAGTCCCGTGGAGGGTATTTCATAAGAGAGTGTCTTGCTAGTATTGTTCTCCTCTAGTGAGATCACAGTGACAGTGAAAGTCTTATGCGTGTGGTTGTGATGCTTTCAGATCATAACTGACCTTTCTGTTTCTAGGCCCGTGGAGCCCGAGCTGTTCTGCAGCTTTATCCAGAGAATGCTCAGCAGGTGTGTCCCACTGTGGGCGGGGCATGATACTAGGCAAACAGAGATAGGTGCTGCTGCTCTCTTCTGCTTTCTAGATGAAAGGGGGGGCAGTGATCAGGTCAGCTAAGGCAGCCTTTGGTTCCTTTCTGTGGCTGGAAATCCTTTAGTCTTAAGAAGTCAAGTCAAGCTTCATTCATATGAGCGAATAGCACTGTGATAGTCCTTTAGAGCACGATTGTGAGGACACCAAGCCTTCTGTTGCAGCCTTCATGGCCAGAGGGAATGTGTACCTTCTCACCAGGTGTGTTACCTTCAGGGAAGTCAGGTTCAGCCTTCACTTTTTTCCTAGAGAGGGGGCTCTCTGGGAAGCATGACTGAGACAATCTAGATAATGGCCAGGGGAGGGGGGACAGATTGGGAAACAAACCTGAGCTGTTGGTGCTAAGACTGAGAATTTCCTGCATCTAGTTAGCAGTGTATGAATTTGTGTTTGATTGCGTTTGGCAATAACTGAATTGACGGCCTGCTGGTCAAAGACGCTCAAAGGGCAGACAGCAGTGAAAGTTGTGTGGCTGAGCTGGAAATGGTCTGGTTATGGGAGGGAGTCTAGTTAAATCTTAAATGGTGCGACCGTGCTGCTGAACTGAAGAGCTGTGGCTCAGTGGCAGAACACCTGGCCTCATATGCAGCAGGTCCTAGGTTCAGTTACTCTGTAGGTAGCAGATTTCAGGGAATGTCCTTTCACTGCCCAAGCTCATGGGGAGTTGACAGACTGGAGGTAGTTTAGTGCTTTGACTCATCAGGTTATCTCTTTTTTCCTGGCTAGCTGGAACTCATCACCACCCAAGCCATGAAAGCAGGCTTCGCTGGTGGCGTGGTGGTGGATTATCCCAACAGTGCCAAAGCTAAGAAGTAAGTCCCTGTGGGGTGTTGGCGCATGAGCTCCTTGTTTCTAAGAGAGGAACCCTTTGCGATGTGCAGCCAGAGACTTGTAGGCCCAGGCAGCAAGTCATTGGATGGTATGAGAAAGCCCCCACCAGCTAGCTTCCACGTGTGGGTGAGAGTCATACACCTTGTGAGCTCTGAGAGCCCAAGCGGTTCTTTCAAGGTCTGCTTGTCCAGTTCTTCTCAGCAGCTGGACTCCTTGGGCCCTGTGCAAGCCCTCTCACAGAAGGGCATTTAGCCTTCCTGCCGCTTCTGACTACAGGGATAGGCCAGTGACAGAGAGCATGTGGAAGGTCCATGTGTGATCCCTCACTGGAGCTCATCTTGCAGCAGGGCTGGGAGAGGTCTGCCTGAGACCGTGGGGAGCTGCCGCTCATCCGAATAGACCGTATGCAGCTGAATGAACCAGCAGCCCGACAGTTCCTTCTAGTTAGCAGAGGCAGCTCATGCTCAGCCAGGTGTGGGTTATACAGGCCGAAGAAAGGAGTTGAGGGTGAATACTCACCTGCGAACCAGAAAAAAGAGGCCAAACTTCAGAAAGGTCATGGGGTGGGGGGGATATTTCTTAACTGAAGTACCCTAAGGCTTGGAACACTTCAAGTTAGGAAGTATCCATTTTCCTCTATCGTCCTTTTGAGGTTTGGCCCTTCTTCTATCATTAGAAAGTCCTCTGCTCAGTTTGATCTTTCACTTTCTCCTCCAGGTTTTTTCTCTGTCTGTTTGTTGGTCCAAGTGCTGTTTTGCCAAAGGTAATGGGATCTGTGGGAATTGGGGCCACGGGGGAGTTACCAGGGCACAGGACTAGTTGGGGCTGGCTTCGGTATACTTTGGGGTGTGCTGGTGCCTTATTGAAAGGATGATATTGGGGGAGAGTGAAGAAGAGGAGATTGGATTAATACCCCTCCCTTCACTACCCGAAGGAGTCTCCGAGTGGCTTACAATCCCCTTTCCCCTCCCCTCCCCACAACAGGCACCCTGTGAGGTAGGTGGGGCTTAGCTCAGGAAGGATGGCTCCAGACCCAAACAATTCATGCCGTAGCCAAATCGCTCGCTCACAACTTTAACGCCAGTAGCTCACAAAGTAGAAGTTTTGCTCACAAGACTCCACAGCTGAGAGGCAGTATTGCCTGCGAGGTAGATGGGGCTGAGAGAGCGCTCTCGAGAACTGCCCTTGAGAGAACAGCTCTGAAAGAACTTGTGGTGACCCAAGCTCACACCAGCAGCTGTACGTGGAGGAGTGGGGACTCAAACCCTACTCCCCCAGATTAGAGTCCACACACTTAACCACTACACCAAACTGCCTCTCAAGAGCTAAGACACCCCACTTGTGCCAGGGAGATCCTCCCCGTTATGCCCTTCTGACCAGTTAGAAGTTGACTGTGGGTGCTGTGGGTTGCCCTTTTCCCAGTCCCTTGCCAACACTGATGCTTGAGTCTTTCCCAGCATGGGGTCTGTGGCCACTGTCAGCCTGCTAAAGCATATTCTGTGGGGTTTCTGGTCAAGAGACTAGGACCCTTCCTTCCAGAGTAGGACGGTTTCAATTCAGCCAGCACTGCTTTAGTGTCAGTCCCGATCGCAAAGGATTGTGGGCACCTCCTGTGGAACCAGAATACCCACAGCCCCTGCCCCTCGGTGAAAAGCCGACATGGGCCTGTCATCTTCTGTTTGTCAGCCTCGTAATGCTACAGCGTGACCGGGAGCCGCTTCTCCTACAGCAGGCAAATTAACATCGTGCCTTTTCAGGGTCTCGGTACGGAGTGCAGTGATGAAGAACCGGCACAGGCAAAATTCGTCTGCGAAAGGTACCGAGTGGGGAGGCAGGAGACACCCTGATGGGGTTGGAGGGTGGGGCTTTCACCGAGGGACGGGGGAGCTGAGAGTCTGAGCAGCTTTGGTTCCGCCAGCAAAGGCTTCGGTCGGGCTATCGTGCATTTTGCCAAGAAGACTAGCAAAGACGGGAAGCTGTCTGTCCAGTTCCAGTCTGACGTGTACTGGACACGCAAAAGTTGCAATGGCCTTCATACCTGGTGCAAGAGGCAACAGTGACCTTGTGGTTGGGATCTAGTTCTTCCCCAGAGAGGACTGGGTACAATTCACACCTTTGGCGGTGGGCTGTTGTTTGATCCGGGCCAAGTCATGTGCCCTGGTCCTCACGAAACTGGAAGGGTAATGGGTCCTCCCCCACCCCACCCCGTCAGCCACGAGGGCAACAGGCCTGCCGCCACCTCCACCAATCAGGCACGTCTCCTCCCCTGAAGCAGCCGAGGGCCCCCCCACACACACCCTGTGCTGCCTGAGCGAGAGACTGACAGTAACAGCCAGAGGATTGTCGTCGTGGCAACCGGCAGCTCCGGGTTGTCACGTTTTCCTGCCTCGTACACACCCGGTAGAGGAGGAGAGGCCCCGTAGCAGCCTCTAGAAATGGATTGACAATTCTCACATACAACCCAGTTCAGTCAGCCATTCGTCCCGCTGTTGCAGACAGAGGGGTTGAAGGGAGTGGCTTGGGTAAGGCTACCTGGAGAGGTCGGGGCAGGAGTCTGCCTCCTTAGAGTGTCTTTCTCTGTCCACAGAATGCGGTTTAAGAACGCCAAAGGACGGTCAGTGAAGAAAAGCCGGGATTGGGTGCTGGAGAAGAAGGAGCGGCGGCGGCGGCAGGGCAAGTGAGTACCGCCTCCTGCTCCAGGGAACATCCTGTTGTGACACTGCCCCTTTTACGAAGTTCTACCTTTGGCCCATCTCTCTTCCTTTCTGAAAACATGTCTCTTATGCTTTACCTGCAGGGAAGTGCGGGCAGACACAAAATACACAGGTCGAAAGCGACGGCCTCATTTCTGAGACTCCCATCCCGCCTTTGGGACTGCTTCCGTTCTACGGAGTACGGCCCCTGTCACTGTGGCCTCTTAGACGGGAAGATGCTGGCCGAAGCCCTGCGTCTGAACCTCCACATGGGCCCACGTCCCGACTGGTTCTAGTCTCCTTGAACCACAGCGAGCAAAGGCTGTTTGGAGAGATGGGCTGATACCCACTGGCTTTGCCCAGCCTTCGTCTTGGCCTACTGCAGGTCTGCTCTCCTAAGCCTTTCTTCAGCCGGGCTGAGAAGCTCCAGCTTGGTTCCCCTCACGTTCCTTCTCGAGCTCAGCTGTCGAGCCACAGCAGCAACGACTGCAGTCCTGCTGGTTTACTCCGTGCCCTGCAAGGGTTGGGGGAGACATTAAGAAGCTTTGGAGAACCTGATGGTAAAGAACTCCTGAAAGAGGGCTATAATAAAATTAAAACTGATGACTCAGTGGCTGTCACTTTGCCAATCTCTGGGCCTGGCTGTCCCCGTGTAGCTCATGGTTTACCTACGGGCTGGTTATGGTAGAATTCTGCCCACTTGGGGGCTTGCCCTCCTTGTCTTAATCCTACTCTTTAGAAATCTCTCCTGTGGTTGTTATAATCTTGAGAGCGTCTTGAGCACAGACATTCGTTCTTTGCCTCCAGCCATGTTGCAATTTTTGTTTGTTTGTTTGTTCTGGGACAGGAAGGAAACCCACAGAACATTCATTGTCCAGAAAATTATGCACTGGCTGCTGTTTGCATTTTTCTTTAAGAAACCCTCCCCGTTCGCGGGGAGGGCGTGTTATAAATTTAAATAAATAAATAAGTTTGTAGCCTTTGTGTGCTCTGATGACGTGCAGGGGAGAAGCCACAGCGGTGGGTGGAGTAAGATTCTCAGCTGGCAGGGAGGAGGCTTGATCCTCCTGCCCCTACCATGATCTCTCCAGAGGGGAAGGGGAAGACGGCTGAACTTTCTCACCTCCATTCTTGCTTTAACGCTGGCACCTGCCCCCAGCCTCCTCGCTGAGTCCCTGTCCCTCGCACAAGTCACATCAGTCCCCTCTGCTGCAGCGCCAGGAAGAGTCAAAAGCTGCTTCACAGATAGAAATACTTTTTATTCTACATAAATCTCCATCCAGAAAGGAAGCTTTGTTTTTTTCCACCTGAAGTGTGTGTGTGTTTTTCCGGGGGGGGGGGGTGAGGTTTGAGTCAACAGGAAGAAAAGGAGGACTGAATGGAAAGAGAAGGCAACAGACGGACAGTTTTCAGTTTGCACCCGGACAGACGAGGAGGTGAGTTTGCAGTTCTACACGGGGGACGGAGACGGGGGGCACTTGGCTCACAGCACCAGGATGGCTCCAGGGAAGGCCTCCGAAAAAGACACGGCAAAAATGTTCAGGTTCTCCTCCTCCCCCGCACCACCACCGCGTGAATGCTGAATGCTGGCAGCAGAAGGGACAGTGCTGCGGCCACCTCTGGAAAAGGCTTATGGGCTGGAGAGTGAAAGAGCTCCCCGAAGCACAAACACGCCACCGACGGCTCAGTTTCGACATGCAACAAAGGCGAGAGGAATCAGTTGAAGAAGGACGCAGGCCCTGGGGCAGCAGGGAGAGAACAGCCCCTGTGAGGCTCCACGACGTAGAGTGGGAGAAAGTGGGTGGGGAAAACCGGGGGGGGGGGGGGGGCAGGAGCATCAACCTCTCCCTGCTGGGGGACGGGAGCGCAGGAACAAAGGCTAGGGGTGAGTTGGACCTACCATCTGCGTCACAGACTGTTTCTAATACTCGGCTCTCGCCCCTACAGCCAGTGCAGGCGTAGGCAGGGAGGCTCTCTCGGAACAACCAGCAGGGGCTTCTCAGGTCTCCTCTCTTGCTTTAGAAGTGGGAATGACTCGGCAGCACAGCCCGCCAGGTGAAAACAAGTCTCGATTTGCACATACACCGCCATCACCACAGTTTGTTGGCCTGCCGTCTCCCCCTTCCCGGCAAGGACGACATCGTCTCCGTCTGAAACTGGGTGGCTCGAAGGGGACTACTGCCGCACCGCAGCGTGGGGTTGGTGAATTTGCCTTTCCCAGGGGCTGCTTAACAAGCCTTCCACAAACTGTAGCTTGAAATGCTGGTTTGGGATCAGCCCTGTGACACATTCAGGTATCACAACTGACTGGGATTTAGCCTCGTGGCCAGGTAACCTTTTTGAGATGGGGTCTTAGGGGAGTCAGCCACTTTCCACCCCCCAGGCGAGGAAAGTGCCCTGAAGCAGGACTCCTTCTCCCCCCCCCCCCTATATAGGATGCCATCGTGGGGCAAGTAGTACTGGAGACACAAGGCAGCTTCTGGACGCTTCTTGACAAGTACCTGAAAGAAACCCCTCACTGGCAGTGGCGTCACCCCTGGTACCACTGGGGTGGAGCATGAGAGGGCCTTCCTTCCCAGCAGATTCTGCAAGGGCCCGCTGGGTCCCCCAGTACCTGGCCCCGCTCCATCATTCACCTGCCCCGTACGTGGGGGGGAGGTGTGTTGGTTTTTTGAAAAGATTGCTGGTGATGTGAAACTGCTGGAAGGAGGCCCAGTGCTGACTGGGCCACGCTGTTGTGTGAAAGACGAGACCTTCAGGCTGTGGCAGAGAGTGGGTGATTTGGCACTTGCTGGGTTGCATATTTAACGGGGGGGGGGGGGCCCCGGGGGCGTGTCTGGGGGGCCCACAAAGGCCTCCCTCCTGTCACGCCCCCAGAAAAAGCGGGCAAGGACAGATTGGCGGTGGCTGGACAGAAGCCTACGGTGGGGAAGGGAGACTCTTGGCACACTTTTGCACTTCCCTTGTGGGGGGGGGGGGGGGCCATGCTTTCCACAGCTGCCTTGGCCAGCTCCCGTTCCCAGCAGGCACAGCCAAGGGGGTTAAGGGCTAGTTAACTGGACTGTACGGAGCAATGCTGCAGACAAAAGGTGGTGGGCAGGGCACTGGTCTCACCCGAGGCGCACGTCACCACCAGTGTTCCATCTAAGCTGAGTTAGTGTGAGCTAGCTCACAGTTTTTTAGCCTCCGGCTCACATTTTTGTCTCAGCTCAGGAAGGAGGGCTCCAGAGCACACTAATTTATGCAGCAGCCAAATCGCTTGCTCACAACTTTAATGCCAGCAGCTCACAAAGAAGAATTTTTGCTCACAAGACTCGACAGCTTAGAGGGAACATTGGTCACCACTAGGCTCCGCCACAGGATTCTGCAGACGGGACAAAAGGCAGGTGTGGTTTAGAGATGCGGCGGTTGCTAGCCTGATCCCGGGAAAGCGCTGGGGGAGGGCGGGCTTTGGCTGCCATGCATAGCTCAGGTTGCAAGCATGCGTTGCATAATCTCTTCTAGTCACAACATCTGGGACAGAAGTGGGGCATGGCCTGGCGACAGGGCGCGGCAGAGGCCCAGAGTCGTTTTGTACATTATGCGGCAGGGAAGGGCCATAAGCATCAGTACGGGGTACAAGACACAACTGTAAACATCTGCCCTGTGCATATTTTACACGGGGAGGGGAACCCAACAGTCCTCCCACGCTGAGTGAAAGGCGTGGGGAGTCCTGCTGCCTCTCCCTGCAAAGGGCAGAATAGGTGGCTTAGAGCGGGTTACACAGGACCGAGGTTCGAATCCTTGCTCTGCCACAGAAGCTTGCTGGGTCCAGCCACCCTCTGTGTCACCTCTCACAGGATGGCGGTTGTGAGGATAAAAGAGAGAAGGGCAGAAGAATCATGTAAGCCACTTTGGGGCCCCACAGGGGAGAACACTCAAGGTGTAAATATCCAGATAAATGAAATGAAAGCATGCCTGATGTGAACGATGGAGAAGAGCGGAAAAGCAGGGAAGGTGGATGTGCATCAGAAAGGCTACCCAGCTCTCCCTTTGGCAGCCACAGGTCCCCCCCTGCAGCCACAGAACGGGAAAACCAAACCGACCTTAGAGTGTGCTTAGGAGAGAATGCCAAAAGGTGACTACGGCAGCTCAAAGTGAAAAGTCTCGCCTCCCTCCTTGGCGCCCTCTGGAGGCCAAAGGCCATGGCAGGAAACTACTAGATTAGCCTTTAGGCCTGGGACGACAGCAGCGCATTCCGCAGGGCTGCCGCAACGGCCAGTTTCACTCTGGAAAAGAGGGGCAGGGCGGGGTCCTCTGACTCCAAGGGAAAGGCTCTTGAATCCAAGGCAAAAAGGCAGGAGCACAGGACTTCTGCAATGACGCCGGAGAAGCCCGGCGATGGCGAGCAACACGGGACCCCCTGCCACTTCCCAGCATGCCACAGCACCAACTCTCCCCCACGCACACTGTACCGGACACGCAGCATTAACACAGACGATCATGCATTAGAAACAGAAGTGCTGGTCGGCAAGGCGTTCCCGCGATGGCTGTGGGGGTCAGGCAGGACAGGAAGGGTCATCCCCCGCAGGCTGGCAGCTCGGCCGCATCTCTTCACCTCCGCTTTCCCAAAGACGAGTCCGGACGGCGGCCTCCTGCTAGCCAAAAATCCCGCCAAAGGTGGAGGCAATGACAATCCCCAGCACGACGCAGCAGACAATGATCATGATCTTCTTCTGCTCGGGGGAGACACACACACACACACACACAAAATGGCCGTTCAGTTGTCAGCACGGGGCACCTCAGGAATGCTGCAACCAATCAGAGACAGGCGCTTGGGTGGCCCTAGATGAGGTCACCATCACTGGCTGCTTGAACGGTCCTTTCATTTTATAGATGGAGGCTGGGCCCGAAAGGGGTGAAAACCAAAGACCCTCCCTCCTCTTAGACTGAGAAATAGGTGGGCTGCGTCTCAAGAACAAGTTCACAAGGGAGAAGGGGCACAATTTGGAATCCTCTGTAGGTGAGGAGGCAGGAATGA